ATGGATATTCGTTCTACTATTACTCAGCCTGAAATTTCGGCTGACCTGTGGCTGGACATCAAGGAGAGACTGTCTCAAATCAATGGACCCCGAATTCAGCACCTCAAGTCTGAATTGGCGAGTTGCAGGCAGCATGGATTGTCCATGGCTGCATACTACGGTCGTCTGAAACAACTCTGGGAGGAGCTTGGCACATACGATCGTTTTCCAGTTTGTTCGTGTGGTCTCTGTCAATGCAATCTCGGTTCCGTCGCCGACAAGAAGCTGGAAGAGGAGAAGGTTCACCAATTCCTTCTCGGTCTTAATGATTCTCTGTACAGTACGACACGGTCTAATCTCCTTGTTCAGGATCCGTTGCCTAAGCTGAACAAGGTCTACTCCACAATGGTGCGTGAAGAAAGGATGCATCAGATTACAAAATCAAAGGAATTGTCCGCCGACATGTGAGCTTGACTGTTAAGGCCGCCGCTCCAGCACCTGTTCAGCCTGTTTCTTCATCTAAGGCTTCGGTTTTTGCTGCATCTACAGCTTCTCTTTCCAGCGGTCGAGGCGCGGCTGGTAAATATTTGTTTTGTACTCATTATAACAGACCTAACCACGATGTTGCTACTTGTTTTCAGCTCCATGGGTACCCCGAAGGCTGGCCTGGTCGCGGGCGTGGTCCCGGGCGTGGAGCTGGACGTGGGCGTGGTGCTGGTCGTGGCGTCGGTTCAGGTGGTTTGGCGAGTTTTCCTGGCTTTGGGTCTGCTGGTGCTGCATCCGTGAACACGTTAGTTCACTCTTCTGGCGGTGTTGGTGGTTTTGGCGCAATGGAGCAAGCACCTGCCGTCACAGGTTTGACCCAAGATCAATGGACCACGCTCCTTCAAGTTTTGCATACCGCATAGAATGGGGCATCCGAAAAGCTTTCTGGTACGTCTTGGTCTAATTTTTGTATGTACGATTCAGGTGCTACCCATCATATGACTGGAACTTTAGCTTATTTTTTGGATGTTCGTGATATCATTGGCATTCCTGTTTAGTTACCTAACGGACAACGGGCCATTGCTACAAAGGCTGGAACTGTCACTCTTAGCAGCAAAGTTATTTTGACTGACGTTCTTTTTGTTCCCAACTTGCAGTGCCATTTAATTTCAGTCTCACAGTTGCTCCGAGATTCTTGTTGCGTTGCTTATTTCACTGATGATTTGTGTGTTGTACAGGACCGCGCTTTGAGGATGCTGATCGGAGCGAGTGAGCAACGAGAGGGTTGTATTTCTTCCGAGTTGTGAAGACTGCAGCTGGATCAACTACTGCTGGCATTTCGTCTTTTGAGTTGCTGGCATTTCGTCTTTTGAGTTGTGGCATCAACGGCTCGGACATCCTTCTCCTAAGGTCCTTCAATTGCTTCCTTCTGTTAGTTTTGGCACGAGTAATAGTTCATTAAATAAGGCTTGTGATGTTTGTTTTCGAGCCAAGCAATCTAGGACGAGTTTTCCCCTTAGTACTTCAAAAACTCATGCTGTGTTTCAGTTGATACATTGTGATTTATGGGGTCCTTATCGAACCCCTTCATTTTCTGGGGCTCGTTATTTTTTAATAATTGTTGATGATTTTTCTCGTGCTACGTGGATTTTTCTACTGGTTGATCAGAAAGAAGTTTCTTCTAGTTTGTGTAATTTTTTTGCTATAGTCCAGCGCAAGTTTGATACTTCCTTTAAATCTGTTCGTAGTAATAATGGTACTGAGTTCATGTGTTTGTCTGGTTATTTCCGTACGAATTGTATTTTGCATGAGACTTCTTGTGTCGAGACTCCCCAACAAAATGGTCGCGTGGAACGTAAACATCGGCACATTCTTATTGTTGCTCGCGCTTTACGTTTTCAAGCTAAGCTGCCTATTGAATTTTGGGGTGAAGATGTGTTAACAGCTACCTATTTGATCAATCGGACTCCTTCGAGTGTCTTAAATGGGAAAAACCCTTGTGAAGTTTTGTATGGGAAACTACTTTCTTTGTCTCACTTACGTGTGTTTGGGTTTTTGTGCTATGTTCATAATCTGACAATTTAATCAAGTATTTTCTTCCTACTGCTACCAAATTGTTTATGCTGCGTTATCGTCTTAAACATTTGGCACTAAGTAGCACATTAGCAGATTATGCATATTGGTAGTGACACGTTGAATGTGCATGATTAGTCTAACTAGGGAATCAATAAGACAAAACTTTTTAATTGTAGTTATCTCAATTATTTTAGTTTTTTTTTTGTTCAACTACATTTTCAAAGATTTTATTGTTATCATAATTTAATTTTGAACGTTATCGTGCCCAGTTAAATTATGAAAAGTTTTGATTAGGTGTTGGGCTTGGTCAAATATTTTCGAAAAATATAAGGTTTTTTACGGTTATCCTATTAAACCTACGGTTGAATGCTTGAGTTGTAGAAAAATCCCTTTTAGTCGATGATCTGTAGTATATTTGAAAAATATTCCTTGAACCAAAATTTTCATTCTATTAATTTTTCTTAAGTTTATTTACTTTAAATTTTGTCATTTTTATTTTGAACAAAGAAAAATCCCCCATTTTGTTACTTTTACAAAGCCAAGTGTTAAAAGTCGGCTCTCTTGGGATTCGACCTGATTCCACTGTTTCTACAATTTAATTTTAGTCTGTTTGGAATTCAGATTAATTTTTGCGGGTCTCGATAAACCCGTGAAAAATTTTGGCACCGTTGCTGGGGAGCCATTTCCTTTGGCTCTTGGTTTTATTATTTTCTGTATTATTTTTCTTATTCCAAAACGAAAAAAAAAATTCTTGTTAAGTGTAGTGTTTCTTTCTTCGTTATTAGTCTTATTATTAAAAAAAGGCTTGTATTTATTTTATTTTATTTATTTATTTATTTATTTTTTTGTTTCTTTCTCTCGTTTAGGAATAGTTCTTTTATTAGTAGTTTGAAAAAAAAAAAAGAAAAGAAAGTTGGTCAGTTTTACTGCAATAGTTTTGTTTTCTTTTATTAAAAAAAAAAAGAAAAGAGCAATAAGTTTTCATTTGTTTTTGTCTTTTGCTGAAATTTTGTTTCTCCTGCTAATCAGTTTTTACTTCCGTTACAATTTTATTTTATTTTTTTCCCCGCTAATTAGTTTTTGCTGGAATTTTGTCTTTTGCTGGAACCACCTCCTAGTTTATATTTTTTGAAATTTGTGCTTAGTTTTATTCTCTAATTGCAAGAATTTTGAATTGTTTGTCGTGTATTTGAGTTACAGGTCCTTGTGTCTGTTTATTGTGCTATTTTGCATCTCTATTTATCCGTACAAATTATTTAATTTTATCGGTGCATGCTAGTAAGTGTAGGAATTTTATCATTTTAGATTGCTAGTTTTTGTGCATTTTTCTTGAGCTTTCTGGTTTATGAGTAGCCGTCGTACTGGCAATAGTGAATTTGATTATATTCCTGAAATTGAAAAAGTTGCTCGGTTTTTGAGAAAGGAAGCTAAGAAAAAAGAAAACTAATTTGCATTTTATGGTGAATTTAGATTCTCATTCATCAAATTCTGATAATTTTGATTCTCAAGAAGAAGAAAATATGGGTGAAAATGATAGAACTTTAAAAGAATTAGTTGCACCAAACTTGAATCAGCAGCCTCTGTGCATTAATTTTTCAAATGTTGAAGCAGCGTTTGAGCTTAAATCTGGTCTGATACGTTTACTTCCTACTTTTCGTGGTTTTGCAGGAGAAGACTCCCACAAGCATTTGAAGGAATTCCATGTTGTCTGTTCAACAATGAAACCACAGATGTTACTGAGGAACAGATTAAACTAAGAGCGTTTCCTTTTTCTTTAGGTGATAAGGCGAAAGACTGGCTTTATGATCTTCCCTCAGGTTCAATCAACACATGGAATGAGATAAAGAGACTATTTTTGGAGAAGTTTTTCCCTACTTCACGAGCTGCAAATATAAGAAAGAATATATGTGGTATTCGACAGATGACAGGGGAATCCCTTTACGAGTATTGGGAAAGGTTCAAAACGTTGTGTGCCAGTTGTCCTCATCATCAAATTTCGGACCAGCTGTTGATCCAATACTTTTATGAAGGCCTCTTACCGATGGATAGGAGTATGATAGATGCAGCCAGTGGAGGAGTTCTAGTAGATAAAACACCAGCAGCTGCAAGACAATTGATTGCAAACATGGCTGAAAATTCTCAACAATTTGGGTTGAGAACGGAAAAAAGTGTGAAACAGGTCAACGAGGTAAGCCATTCTACTCTTGTAAATCAAATTTCTGACTTAACTTCTTTGGTTCGTCAAATGGTAAGCCATTCTACTCTTGTAAATCAAATTTCTGACTTAACTTCTTTGGTTCGTCAAATGGCTGTAAGACAATTACAGGGAGCTAAGGTTTGCGAAATATGCACCAATCCTGGGCACCCAACAGATATGTGTCCTTCTCTACAAGAAGACCCAACTCAACAAGTTAATGCCAAAGGAGGATTTCCATATGAACCACAACGAAAATATGATCCCTACTCAAACACCTATAATCCTGGATGGAAGGATCATCTAAACTTCAGCTATGATAATCATGGTGGTCAACAGAGATTTCCCCAAACCTACAATTGGGCTCCACCACCTCCATGTTTCATGTTTGTTTGAATCGAAAGATTCACATCAATTTGTTATTTGTGTATTAGAACTTGTTTTAACTTTTTGGTGAAGGGGGTTCACATCAATCTAGCTAAACATTTGATAGGACAAAATACAATTGGTTATAGCTACACTTTCTAATACAATTTACACAAATCAAATTTTTAGACAATAACATCGACATTTGTTTGGATCTTACTAATTGGGTTAAGGATTGCATGTAGACATGCAATGACAAATAGGATTGAGTGAAACTCCAACAAAAGGTGTTGATTTAGTTATTTACATATTGATGTTTTTCTATTACTTTATTTTTTGGGGGAAAGTTAACTTATCCTCCTCAGATTGCATAATAAGAACATTTTTGGGGAAAAAAAAATCATGAAAACCTTACAACTATACAAGAAATATCATCCCTGCTTTTCCTAGAGACAGCCTCCTCCACCAGAATTTTGGCTGCTGAGTTAGGATCTTTAATGTTCTTGATGGAATCAATTGCCTCTTGGTTTGACATTACCTAACATGGAATCAAACAAATAGACATTAGCGACTTGATAAAAGTGACATTGCCATGGAGCTTTATGTCCCCTTAGAAACCTTAAATCTAAATGAAATCTTTAGACTCGACTTTTGCACCAAATAAGAAAATGTTTTATTAGCAAAATAACTCATTTCATTAGAACAAGAAAAGAATATTAATCACACATTTTTCAGTTAGGTCATTACATAATGTTCATAAACAAAACGACATTATGTTCTAGTCGAACATAGTTAGTAATGGTAAATTTTATAACTTATCAAAATGCCACCAAACTGAACTAAACCTTACCTTCCACAATCCATCACTAGCCAAAATAATAAGCTCTACGTCGTGGTCAATAATCTTCACTGTTATATCAGGTTCTGAACTAAGATGCCGCTTCAAACTTTTGTCACCAAAAGCCCTTGCTACAGCCAATTGTCCATCAACTCGAGGAACATCACCTGTTGTATACAAATGTCATTATTAGTATACAAAGATGGAGAATACAGTTTGGACAAGAAAAAAAATTCAACATGATAAGTTACCTGGGATTTTTGAAACAAAACCACCCTTGCTTTCAATTATCTCCTTTTCCATGCTTGGCTCATGATCAACCGACAATTGCTCAGCCACGCCTTTCTTGCTCATAATAGCTCTTGAATCTCCAACATTTGCTACTACAAGCTTCTCACCATTTATAAGTATTGCTGTGACTGCAGTAGAACCACCTTTCCCTAGTTTAATTGATTGCTCCAAAATAACCTTATCAGTTGCTTCATAAGCTCTTTTTATTGCATCTTCTATGTTAGTCCAAAAGTCATGCTGCAGAAAATACACAATGGACTATGTTAATAAATAGCAATAGGATGATCAAGAAGAAATTATTGAGTCATTAAAAAACCATAGAAACCTCCTTCAAAATGTTATCAAAAAGATGGGCTTGGAGGTATTTTGCAACATCGTGTCCCATATGCCCATCAAAGATTGCAAATAAACCCAACTCATTATGGTGCACTCGTTTTAATTCTGAAACCAGATAGTCTTCCATGGCATGAGGTGATCTTCCTTTAAGTAGATAAGATCCATGAGATACATGTCTTGTTTTGCTTTTCCCTCCCCCTGCATCAGGTGACATTGGTGCCGAAAAGCATGTTTTTTCCTTTTACCAAAAAAGTATAGACAAAAAAAAGAATATGAGTCTATGTAAAGACTAATTAACATGAATACATACATATGGTTGAAGAGCCTACATTTAAGAATCTTATCTCAAAACTAAAATTTTGTGAAAACAAAAAGTAATAATCTGTAATCTATAGGCTTAAACAAGTGAGAATTGTTGATAGAAATTACATAAGTTATCATTCATTCCATCGGTGTGGTATGTGTACAAAAGGAAACTAAAAGTTTCCTTTCAGATTAATTTATGAAGACTACCTGAAAAAGTCTTTCACCTCTATGTGAAATTTCAAAACATTCAAAACTTACCAAGTATATTCCCATGTGTACAGACTACAGAGTTTCACAATTCCAGCTTTTATGGGTGTCTTCTAAGTATTCTCTCTATTTCAAAATTATAGTTTGAAATTTCATTTTTAGTACAATTTCAATTAAGAGTGAATATCTAAATTGAAGAATAATTTTGGGACGAAGGGAGTAATTAGTAACTTAGTATCCAAAACTCTATCATCTTAGCATTGAACATGGGGAGGATATACTGTCAGCCCAGCAATCAGTTCAGGTCCTAAGAGAAACAGGTTCCATCTCCCTAAACTCCAAGGTTTCCTCTGTGAACAAAAAGTCCCTGGAACTGGGCGAATCACATTCTATTTTGTCACTTAATGTTTTGATTCAATTGGATTGCAGAAATTAACAATTCTATACAGTATCCTTTGGGTAGAAACATATCAAATCTTGACAAACTATCATCTGGCCGTTTCCAATATATCATCTGGCCATTTCCAATATCTCTGATGCAGAGTATCTGAATTCATTCTCTCATAATCTTACTACTCACTAATGCTAATTAATGATTCTAATCATATCAGAAGTTCGTTCCAAAGTTGCCAAAGTTGAAGTCTTTGAGCAGACAAATCAAATACTTCTAATTCAATACAACAAGTTATCTATCCTGGCAATTAAATGATCAACACTAAAAACTGACTGGAGAACTTAACGAAAAGATGCAAATACAATAATCAACACATGAACACAATTAAGAATCAGCAATAGAACTCACCTTCATTCTGTGAAGGATATCTTTTCCCGTCATGTTGACTTTTTTTGGTGTCCTTAATTAGCCACAAAAATTTTTGAAGAAACACTTCCAACCAAAAAATTATCTTTTAATTTGTCAGAATGGTACCAAAAGTGGGAATATATGTTTTAGGAAGATGGTGACCAGTTGCAGCGGGGAAAAATAAAAAACCCAAAAAGAAATTGTATTCTACTCATAATTGTAGCTATACAGGAAAAAGAAAAACACAAATGGGACAAGTTCCCCATGTGTCCAGATTTCATAGTTGACCGACTTTCTGCAATGGATTGTTTTTTAAAGCTTATCAAGATGACCAATTAGGTCGGTAAACGCGTGAAAACACACAAAAAGTGGGTTTCATAATTGGTGACAGCCAATAGGAATATTCATATGTATTTTTTGTTATGAAAAATAGAATAATTCAACTTGGGACATGATTGGACAATTTCCCCATAATCTCAAGTTTTGTCACGTTTTTGTTTTGCAATATAATCCTCGAAATACCAATTCTAACACTCAACCCCTATTTTGATAAGTCTTTAAAGATCAAGTTGTGAAAGTTGAAAATGCTCAAAGTCAGTAGTTGAGTTATTAAAAGAACACCACTTGAGCATCCAATTTTCCATTAATCCCCTCCCCACGTTGATGTTCGTTGGGGTTACTTGGTGGAAGGTTGAAGGAGATCGTCCATAATTATAATACTGCAAGAGATATGTTATTCGGTCTTGTAACGTAAATTTATCTCGTTATATTTTAAGAATTGATAACAAGTCTAGTAATATTGGTTTCGAAGTGACAATTCCTTACATTGAAATTTAAATTTAGAAGCTTAGAAAAGTAAAAAAGTTACAAATAAATATCCCTATCTAAATTCTTAACAACGATTTTATTTTGGAAATCTCCTCTCGATCACTTGAGTTTCATAGTTTCATGTGTATATGAAAGTTCCGTCGTAACAAATCACCAAAATCATTAGTAACATTCTCTTCATGTTTAGTTTAAAATGTACTAAAACTACAAATTCAAATTAAGCAATAATTTTGGTACCGAACAGATATATGTTTTTAGTGACCATTATCGTAATTTTTTTAATTGAAGTTTTGAATATTCTTTTTATTGATTGTAACATGAAAAAAAAAATTTTAAAAAAAACCTTGAGGGATAAAAATCTTAATAAAGATTTTCAAAATTTAACTTACAGGTGAACAAATAGTTTGAACTTTTAATTAAGAAAGTACTGAAGAATCTAATGTTCGACATTGCTGCAATTCTAATTTGCTATCTATTTCTCTTTCTATTCAAAAGGGAGTTTCTTTTTTTTCTCTCTTTTTTTTTAAAATTAAATCCAGCCGAACGAAAACGAACGAAGAAGTAATCAAAATTCAGAATTGTGTAAACTGATGGATTTATCTGTAGTTAATTTGTGAGAATTTAATCGACATTTTGTATTCTTCGTGAACTTTAGAAAAAGCTTTAAGCTCTAGGACGAGAGATCGATCAGCAACTTGTGCAACCTCCTAATTATTATAGATCCTGCAACAAATTAAACAAAATCACGTTCGTAAATTAACTATTAGTTTATCAATCAAAGGAGGAACCAATAAGGAAAAAAAAAATACTCCTTCTGTCTCAAAATTATTGTCCAGTTTGAGATTTCACTTTTAGTACAATTTGAACTAGAAATGAAAACTCAAATTAGACAATAATTATATGGGACGGATGGAGTAATATATTAATTTGTCGGTGGATGACAAACATGAAATGTGATGCAATTTTATTTTTCCCCCTTTTATTTGCTGCCTCATCCGATCAGGAATTACCTTGAAAAGTAATCCATTGGGCGAGTACAATTCGTATACGCGAACTTTTGTGTAAAAGTCTGTTTTAATTTTCACGATAAGCTATCACAAATCTTTCAACTGAATTATTTATATACATACATGTCTTAATCAATTATACTTGGAACAACATTAGTAGGTAGTACTACCTTGTCTTTATTATAAGATATTTTGATTTGTTATAAATTTCACTAAGTATGTTTTTTTAATTGATAAAAAAATCTTAAAAGTATTTTATAGTGATTAGGAGAACAAAATATATTTGAAAATGTATTTTTAAGTTTTTTTTAAATTAAAAAAAACGTATTAAGTGAAATTTAAGACAAATCAAAATAGTCTATAATAATGACCATTGGAAGTAATATGGGGAAAAAAGCACACAATATTGATTAAATTTCATTCATTACCTGGAGCAATCCATGCGTTCAGAAATGGGGAAGCTAAGGTGAATATTACACGTATAATAAATATTCGAAATACGGTTTTGTAAATAACGAGGATGGCCTCCTCTTCCGGCTATTGCTTCAATGCATTGGCAAATCCTTCCGGCTCCGTTCACCTCGACTCTCGAAATTTCGTTCAAAAACCCTAACCCACTGCAACAATCCGGCATCGGATACTGATCGCTTCCGGTGATATAATTCTCGCAGTTTATGTAATAATTGTACACGTCTCGACAATCATCGGGTACGGTCCACGGGTCCCAAAACCAACCCGAGGCCGAACCCGAAAACACCCCTAAACAAACAATGGTTACAAATCTAACAAAATGAGTGAAAGCCATAGCCACAATGTGATGCTAGCTACACGAATATTATTTTTCTTGTAGAAAATAAGGTAAGCGCTTCACTTTTGGCTTTCATGTATCCTAAGGTTTCTTAATATTTATACACAGGTTTCTTAATGTTTATACACTTGAATTGCTGCATGGATTAAATTTTGATACGTTTTTTATGTGTGCTTTAATTGTTGGCGAGTTCATTTTATTGACAAAGGCTTCTTTTTTTTTTTTTTAACATTCGATTTTCGCTTACTAATTTGAAAGCTTGGACATTTATCAAAATATCTAAAACGACGTTGTCTTTACTAATTAATGTAATACAATTTTTTTTTTTTGTAAATAAATTAACGTAATACAATTGATATAATAAAAGTGAAAATTTCTACCTCGGTTTTGTCCTTCTTATTAATGCTCTGATCTTTAATTAATAGTTCTTCAAATTAACTTAAAAGCTGAGAGAAGCATTTAATTAGGAATTCGTAACTCCTAAATCTAGATAATGAGATTAATTCATTTAGTTTGGTAACGTTCTTGGAGCTTCCTACGCGGTAAAAATTAAACATGTTTGCCTGATGATATCTGCTGAGGAATCCAACGCGTTTGGCAACCAAAGAATACTAACCTAATGAATCATCTTCCAACTCCACCCCCAATTTTGCTTTTAATTGTGTGAATCCTTTTTTTAAGTATTACGTTGCACAGACATATCTTGCCAACGCCAATACGCCATAATGCACTACTTTGTTTCACTTAACTATTTCGATTGAGAAATGGTACAAACTGTTTACCGATCAGTTAGCTTGACAGGATAATATTTAAATGATTGAAATCACGTATTGCTTTTACACGACGCCTGACCAGTAGAATAAAAATGCGTTGCACATTAATAAAAATTCAATGGCCCATTTGTTATTTTGTTTTTCTATAATTTTTGCTATACATATATATATATATATATAAATATATATTGAAGCCAATACTAAATGCAAAACGAAATAGTTACAGAAAAAACTATTTAGGCACACTAGAAGAGATGAAGGCAAAATTTTGATTTTTTTTCTCATAGCTAATAGATACAATTTCGCTAATGTGAAATGTTAGCCATTTATATTTTTTTAAACACAAACGATAATTGTTTGTATTCCCTCTGTCCCAAAATTATTGTCTAATTTGAGATTTCACTTTCAGTGCAATTTGAACTGGAAATGAAAACTTAAACTGGACAATAATTAGAAGCCGGAAGAGAGTATTATATAATAGAAAAGAGGCACCAACCCGTTTCCCCCAAGTATTATAATCACAGGAGGAGATATAAACTGTCACAGTCTATGATTGGGCTCAAACAATCTTTTATACACGCTGGATCTGTCTACAAATCTCGAACTCCGTACAGACCATAAATTGGTTAATTAGGTGGGATTAAAAATATATTACTACTTTCTATCCCAAAAAGTTAGTCCACATTTAGTTTTCAACTTTGTATTAAAAATAGTACAAAACAAAAAACTCAACGTGGACTATTTCTATGGGATGGAGAGAGTAGTAATTATAAAGAGAAAAATAATAGTCCAAAGTAAGAAAGTATCACAGGCATGAGATAGAAACTATTACAATTTATGATAGAGTTAAAACAATTTTCTATAACACATTGGATCTGTTTACAAAGATCAAACCTCTTACAAACTATAGATCAGTTAATTAAGTAATTAGATAAGGAGATACATTACTCATGATTATGAAGAAGAGATTTCCAAAAAGAAAGTCATACATAGAAGAATCTATAGTTATTTCAGTTTTACTACGGAGATTTTGCACTAAGGTTACTCTTTTACCCACAGGCTACTAGCCCTCTTGCCATATTATCTTGCAATATTAGCAGCATTTCTAGCTATATTGGATTTTCTTCGATGGATCATGATAGATCTGCGACTCCACATACGAAACACAAAAGAAAAATGAAAAAAAAAGTCACAAAAGGGAGAGCCAAATTCTCAAAAAAGAGAGGATAAAAGGGAATTTGTGTTTCACTTTATTCACGAATATGGGCTACAAAATGTCCTAGTTAATTCAAGAAAATGTTTTTAAGGTTGAAAGCCTCACCTCAAGAAAATGATTCAGGTATCTTGACATTTTTAATAAAACCCGAAGCGACCACGAAGAAAAAGAAGAATTTAGTAAGGGTTCTTCGGTGATTATTTTTCTGTTTTGTACAATTTGTTGAAATTATGAAAAATTTTCATGGCTACAAATTGTTTTTTCCGCATTAATGAAAATGAAATTTTCAATAATTAGTGCTCATGAAAATAACATTATTAGTGCTCATAAAGAGAGAATACATTGGAAATTTGGAATCGTAATGAGAACAAAAGATTATAAGAGGTTCTTTAGCGTTTTTACATCCAAAAGTAAAAAATACCAAAATTGTTGAAAGGATTACATGAAGAAAAAATAGTAATCTAATTGAAGAGGCCATTAATTAATTAGTTCAAAATCAGACATAAATTGAATTTATGACATGGTGTTTTCGCTATTTCATGTAGATTTTATCCGGTGTCACGCAGGATACATTTAATTAAATTATAAAACATTTCTATACATTCTAACAAAATAAACAATTAAAACGTTCATTAAAAAAATTTTCGTTAACGGAAACAATTGTTTTCTTTCTGTTTTCTCTTTTTATTTTATTATTATTATTATGCGTTTCGGGTACTTTCGGGCCTTTTGGTGTTCGGGTTGTCAAGCCTCCTCCTGGGTTTCTTCCGCACCAAACGGTGTCGTCTCCTTCAGACACTGACAAAGAATCACTCCCAAATTTAGCCGTTACAGAAAGCGCCCAATTCCAACCATTGCCAATATAACAAGCTCCCCCCACCTTTTCAAAAATCCGACCGTTAGGCTAAACTCTAACGTTGATTCTTTATTCTCCTCAATTTTTTCCCATCTTCTTCTTCTTCATATCCAAACAATCCGACCAACATTTTACTGGACGAAAAAACCCAATCAAAGATCACATCTTTTTTTTCCTTCATTCTTTGAACTTCTTCATCCAGCAAGAAGAAGGCACAAATAAACTGATCATGGCTGCTGCTCCTGAAGAAGATCCCAATGGTGCTAGCTCCTTTGTGATTGACGAAACCTATGAGTTTTCTGCGCCCAAGTTCTTTGATTTTGTTATTGGCGAGACCCAAGAAGAGATGAGGGAAGCGGAGCTCTGGTTTGATTCTCGATGCAGTTACGCTCCTTCTCGTATGTCCCACTCTCTTAACCCTCTTGATGTTTTCTTGAATCTTGAAAAGGAAAAAAGAAATGGGAAATCAATTTTCTGGTTTGACGGTTTCAGTACTCTGCGATTTTCTTTGGAATTGAATTGGGTTTTCGTATAATTTAGTAGGTTTGGTGGGCGTCGATTTTGATTCGTAAGATTCGTGCCCGTATCCCCACGTTGAGTTATTGTTCGTTTTCTTCTTTCTTTCCGTGAATTTGAGCATGTTTTACTCTCTGGGATTAGATCTTTCTTATATTTTGGTGTTTCTTTCTGTATGGTTCTGTTCAATTTTTCTGAATCATGTTCGAATAACTTCAATTTCCTGCCGCATTCTTGGCTCATTCGGGGAGGATTACTCTAGGGTTTTGATAAATTCATGGCAAAATTGTTATTAGTACTTTATCATGTCCGGATTTGTGAAGCCAGTTCTACCAGGGAATTTATTAGACTGCTTGTAGAAATGAACATTGCTTCCAAGATGTGTTGTAATAATGAAATGCAGATTCTTCTGCCAGTTAGTCAAGATATGTTGCTCAATTCATTCGGTGTTTTGTCCACAGATCAATTCAATAATTTGTTGATTGCTAAAAATGTTGCTTAAGTTGGGAGATCGTATCAATAACAAATGAACATGAAGGAACTGTTGCTGTCTTAGAGTATAACATTTCAATGGCACGATTTTAGAAAACAATCAATTAGACATGGCATTGATAATAATGAACACCATGGTATTCAGTTGTTCTATTTTATCCAATATCGGAGACACTGGACAACTCAGGCAGATGTTTACGGGTTGAATTCCATAGGATTCTTTGTTTATGAGCCCTTAGAACTTAGAACCCTTCGAAACTTTCTACATTGTCATGAATGTGATGGGAAGATGCTAAATAATGTTTGATCCCCTTCTGAGCAATAATGTTTTGAACTTTCGCAGCCTTTATGCCAAGAATTAAAACTAGCAGGTCGGTGCAGCTTGATGCAATTTGCGATTTCAGTGAGGCTGAACAGTTGCAGAAGGTAACACACTTTTCAGCTTCTATTTCTTTGATAGGTTTGGTGATATGGAGAAAAGGAAACTTGAATGGGAAACTGGCATCAGTGCATACTATGTTTCCACAAGTGGTTCTGTTTTTTCTGTCTTTTTCTTTTCTTTTTTTTTCTTTCATTTTTTTTTTTTTTTTTTTGTTTAGCTTCAATGTTGATCTGGTTTACCCAATTTGTAGGCAGCAGTTCCTACAGAATTAGCTACAACTGATAGTGCAAAGGAACCATCATCGGAAATGGAACAAAAAAGGTTTTGGCTCTCTCGTGATTATATACCTGCCGTTTTAGATTCAATGAAATAGCAAATTATAATTTTTCTATTTCTTTTCCTGAATAATTGCAGTGTCCAGGCTGGAGAAGCCATTACCTGTGAAGTTAAGGAATCTCCTTTGAAAGATCATAAAGAAGAGCCTGTATGTTGCTATTTCCTCTTCAGTGTATTAGCCATTACTGCAATGCAGTTCTTGTGACTCATGTATTTCTTTTCACTTTTCCAGGAATTGGATCAAAAAATACATTTTGTTAAAGGTTAGTTGGTTGTTGTTCAACCTCTTTGTTAATCTATATTCCTTTGACACATCTAACTGGTTCTCTAATACAAAGTTTATTGGCTAGCAGTGAAAGCAGAAGTTTGCACCCCAGCCCCACAGATTAAATCTGGAGCAGGAAATGAGCCCCTACAGCAGACTAATGTCAAGAAGCCGCAGACAGCCAGGAAGATTGCTAGTCTGCTGAAAAATCCTTCAGCATTGAAATCAAAACATCAGCCTCAATCACAGACAAAAGTCACTAAATCAGCTAGCGTGAGAAAGGAAACAATTAAGAAAAGCACTGCAGAAACTCCCAACTTTGCTCAGGAAAATCAAGCCATAAAACGGCAAAAATTAGAAGGGGGGAAATCTAGGCCGGTAAAGAGCGTCGACTATATCATTTTGTTTTCTAAATGTTTGCTTCAATATTTCGTTAAAGCTTTTAAGCTGTATTCACATTTCAGATATTAAATGTCAAACCACAAACATTGCCACACAAAACAAAGGCTGGCCTCATCAGCAGCAGCACCAACTTATTCTCATCAACTGCTAAAACTCGCAAGGAGGATAGGAAGGTTGGTTTTGGTTTTGATTTTGCTTTAGATTGTTATCCATTATTCATTTATAGACTTGGTAACTGCCCATCTGAACTTTTTCTGACTTGACCTATCTCCCTGTGTTTCAGCTTTATGTTCGAGAACCTGCTGCTCCATTTGTTTCTATGGCTGAAATGATGAAGAAGTTCCAGTCTAACACAAGGGAGATGTCTCTGTCTTGCACGAACAGTTCCCTTTCACATGTAATTAGATGATCATTCACCTCGTCTTTTCCAATTTCTTTCTTCTGTTCAGACATTTAATGATTTGACTGTAATTTGTACATTTTTTCAGGATGATGCTGCCGGAACAATGCAGAGGAAGCCAAAGCTCAAATTGACAAGGCCCAAGGAACCTGAATTTGAAACTGCTCAGAGGGTTCGTTCAGTCAGAGTAAAGAGTTCTGCTGAACTCGAGGAAGAAATGATGGCTAAAATGCCTAAGTTTAAGGCTCGGCCACTGAACAAAAAGGTATTTCTTGTTTCTTACAGTGCCAGAGGAATGTTTAGTTGTCAGTTGTTGTGCATGATGTTTATTATAATATGGTTTATACTTCTCTTGCATTACAGATTCTGGAGGCTCCACCTTTGCCTGCATTACCAAAGAAACCCACACCACATCTTACTGAGTTTAAGGTAAATATTGCAGGAACATGAATAGAAAAAGAGCTAAGGAAGGCAACGAAAGGATTTTTCTGGTTGAAGACTAAATGAGAATTCCGTTTGATCTCTGTTGTGGCAGGAATTCCACCTAGAGACAATGGCAAGGGCCAATCAGAATGCCGAAACATCTACTGTAGCCTCTGTCGAATCTTCTCAGGTATTAAGGACATGGTATTCAGGAGTTATTTTTTTCAGTTATTATAACTAATCCTGAAAGTGAACTGAGGAATGTTTCTTGTTACGATTGAAAACAATGCAGAGTCAACAACAGTGGAAGCCACATCTAACAGCGCCAAAATCACCTGTTCTTCATACATCACTTAGGGCACGACCACCTAGTATCAAAAGTTCAGATGAATTAGAAAAAGAAGAACTTGAAAAGATTCCCAAGTTCAAGGCAAGGCCTTTGAACAAAAAGGTAGCTTTTTTTGCCTTTGCTTCTTAAGTGATTTAGTATACCCTTTCCCTCCATCTCCCTTACTTCAGCAAGCTTTTGAATTTAACAGATATTTGAGAGTAAAGGTGATATGGGGATGTTCTGCAATAAGAAGAAGCAGATAACTATACCTCAGGAATTCCATTTTGCCATAGATGAAAGAATTCCACCTCCAACCCATGTTGCTGAAATGTTTGACAAGGTAGTTTCATGTCTCCTATTCCAGCTCTTTCTTGGCATTCTATCCCATTGAATTTTTTAGTTCTCATAATCCAACTACTGATTATGTGTCTTCTTTCAGCTGTCAATTAAATCAGAATCCTCCCAGCATGACAACAAGCCTATTCATAGAAACACAACTCCTCAGCCTTTCCAGTTGCATACTGAGGTATGTAAGCATGTTTTCATGAAAACTTGAAAGCCCTCCATGTACTAACATTTACTTCATGGCTTTGCAACCAACAGGAGAGAGGAGCAGAAAAGGAGAGGAAATGGGTCAGTGAAATTTTGCAGAAACAATGGGAAGAAGAACGCTCCCGGGTTCCAAAAGCCAATCCATATCCTTACACAACAGATTATCCTGTGGTAAGGTTCTTGTCTTCTAGTAGTTCATCTTTAACCATTATATATCAGTGTATTGGTGATTATTCTGTGGTGACTGTAGACCTTTGATGGTAAACCACTTGTTTTGTTGAGCAGGTTCCACCAAAACCACAGCCAAAACCATGCACGAAACCAGAACCCTTTGAATTGGAGAGTTTGGTAAGGCATGAAGAGGAAGTACGGAGGGAAATGGAGGAAAGGTGGCGCATGGAAATGGAAGAAGCCCAGATGAGGATTTTTAAGGCTCAGCCTATATTGAAAGAGTTAGTTTCTCTCTTATGCTCTTCATGTTTCCCGCTCTCTTTCAATCCATAATGGGAAGACGTTATATGTAAAGTTCCTTTGTTCTAATAGCAGTGATCCCATTCCACTTCCTGAGAAAGCACGTATACCTCTCACAGAGGTTCAAGAATTCAACTTACACGTGGAACATCGTGCAGTTGATAGAGCTGAATTCGATAAAAAGGTAGCTCTCTTTCAAATGTACAACACCGGGCCTCGCCTTATTGTGTTCCGATTGTTTTATTAATCTTAAACTGGTGTCCGCAGGTCAAGGAGAAAGAAATGATGTACAAGAGATATAGAGAAGAAGCTGAATCAGCCAAACAGGTACAAGGCAACCGGTGGTTTTGAAATCTGTGTTTGTTTTTTAGCAAATGAGTAATTAGTTTATAACCTTTTCTGTTGTTTGAATTTACAGATGGAGGAGGAGAAGGCTTTGAAACAACTAAGAAGGACATTGGTTCCACACGCCAGACCAGTTCCCAATTTTGCCAACCCTTTCTTGCCTCAGAAGTATGCTGATTCAACAAAACTTTAAAGTTATACTTGTTTCTATTCTCCGTTTTCAGTTTGTTCTGTCCTTCATGATCTGATGATGTTTCTGTAAAATATTTGTTAGGTCTTCAAAGCAAGTGACGAAACCAAAGTCACCAAGACTGAATGTGCTGAAGGCAATAGAAAAGAGGAGGAAGATGATGGGCTGCCCTGTTGCGGCAACTTCCAGTTCTGCTACTATGATGAGATAGTTTCCAAACCCCCCATTTTAGGTTCTACTGATGTTGATGCATTTCGGGGGGGCAGCTTGCCCCCGGCTGACATATTAAACTAAAGTCGTATGTAAAGTTGTACTTGAGAGAAAATTCTTTTTGTAACAAGATAGCAGAAATGTCACTATTCTATTGGAATAATCATTTACCATGATGATATTAGTAAACTTCTAAATGTTCAGATTCATTCAGGAACATATTGATCTCTGTACAACTAAAAATCAAATATCCCACAGGCTCTTTCACCTCCAATTTCCATGCACCTCTTTCATCTTCTTTCTAAGAAAGGAGAAACTTGAAATTTACGCTGCTGCTTGTGCTGATATGCTATTATCTGCAACATAAATGAGGCCTTCAGTGATGAGTTGTAAGAAGAGCAAAACAAAATCAGGATGGCTTTAAAATTACCAAAAAATTAATTATAGAGAGTGGTTACTATGAAAATTAATGGTCACCCACCAACATGCGAGTGTAACATATGCTGCGGATACTGGCTAGAGTTTCTAGCCCTTCAAGAACTTCCAATCTAATCCTAGACCAATTGACCTGGTTGCATAGGGGTTCCCAATCAATTATATGCGAAAGGTTGATGGCTGGTATACCATTGTTTTCTTCTCTCACTAACAGGATTTCAATATCATCAACTTGTGCTTTTGTTTCCTCGGCAATATACTACACATACAGAAGGTAATGAATCAAGTATGAAGTTAGACAGAAAGTCATAGAATAGAGAATCACATGGACTAGAGAACAATTGAGAATAAACCAAATACATAGTCTGATTAGGCATTTAACCAATAAAGTCAACAGAATTCTTCTGTGAATTATCATCCAAATCGTCATGTGATGCTCTTACTAAATTTTTTTAAAAAATAAAATAAAATAAAAATACTTGCCTTCTGGAGTTGATTGATGGAGGAGCTTGACTGGACACAAAGGTAAGGCTTTTCCAAGTTGGGAATATTTTCTTTGTCCAGAGAAACTACAGCAAAGTGGACTTCAGACTGCAAACAAGATCACTATTATAGTTAGAAAACTAATGTGTTCCCACAATCAGTTACATGCTACAGCAGAATACAAAAGAGGAACACTCATCATATGACTCAGAATTGAAAAGACCATACTACCATCTAACTGGTAAACGAAACACTAATATTTAATGAAGAAACTGCTTCCAATACCTTATAATCAATTTTTGAGTCATTTTCAAGAGATTCCATGAGCTTCGATAATCTGGTCCTACTGCTGCTTCTAGCTACACTTCCAGAACCATGGCGAGTATGGCTTCTTGCACCACCTCTGCCCCAAGTAAGAAGTTCTGGGTTGTTTGCAGTCCCAAGAAGGTTAAGTGCCTCTTCTTTCAAAGGATCAGTTGCACTTTCCGAGATCTCACCATCAAGGTTGGCAGTTGAAGATATCGGTGAAGGCTGACTACCACTGACTCCAGATCTCCTATTCCTGATCTGTGCCTGAGATATATCAGAGACAGATGGATCAAAGTTCCCATCCAGCTCATTTTCTCTTTCACTAGCATTATGAACCTCTGTATCAGTTCTCTGATGGTTTCTTCTTCTTGAAACGGTGTTACGACTATATCGAGGCACTCTTGAATCATCCATATCTCTATCTATTCGACGCTTCTTATATAGAGCTTCTGATTGTCGTCTAGAGATTTGGGCAATTGATGCTTGTATCTGTCGAACAACAATTTGTAAAATCACCCATCAAATTACATTGCCTTTTATTGATACTAAAAACTAAAATCTCTTTTGCTGTGTTTAGTCTAACAAGTTACACATGGAAACAAATGCGACAAACCTACTTTTCATCATTAACTATTGAGTAGTTTTACAATTCCAATGTTGCTAGGAGGCTAGATTGGTTCAAATTGCACCATCCAAGACTCAGAATAAACTAATAGACTCCACATACACACAAGTAAATAAACCATTTGATCGACCAATATGATAACGATATAGTTCAATTCATTTTGTATTTTAGTAAGAGCTCTACAAAATTTTCCCAGCAAAAATAGACCAAAACTTCTATACAGCAACAAAAGTAGCTAATATTCAGAATGTAGAATCAGAAAAAACAAAAGAGTAGTGATTTAGCAAGCATCACTTTTGTAAATCAGTTCAGTTAACATCTTATCAGTAAAGAAAATATCCTCTACCTCTAGTGAAAACCCAGTTGAAAGGAAATAAATGACCTTAACAATTCTAATAATCATTTCTGTAAAATAGATTTCTGAAACAAATCTTTCTTCATTGGGTGATTTATTGAGAAAACACATGGTTCCTCAAAATCCTTTGCGTAAGACTCAGCAACAAGCCTCATACAGAAAAGATTGAATTTGCTAAATCCAGTAGAAAGAAAGATGAGAAGAGAGCAAACGCAGAAGTGACAGATTTCAAGGCTGGTGCAACAAAGAAAGACAGCATGATGAATTCAGGTACAAAATTGCTAGGACATCTGACCTGCTCATTACGGCTTTTTTCCTCTTCATGAAGGACCAATTCCTTGCAAGCAGATTTGGAGGGAAAGAAAAAAAAAAAAAAAGAAGAAGAAGAAGATAAGCAGGCTTTCTTTGCTAATTATACGAGTATATATGAATAGCATGTAGCAAATTTGTAATGCTAAAAAATCAAATTTGATATACCTGCTCTTCATAAGTTGACATATCCGGATATAAAGCCTGAATTAAGGCATCAAAACCTAGATCATCTCTCAAAGAACGTCTGCTTGAACAATGTATACGACATGCGGGACACTCATTATTCCTACAATGATATATTGTTTAGGTTCTCCACAAACATTCCTCAGTGTCTTAAATATTGACTAGTAGGACTCAGAAATTACATCTTTTGAGCTATTAACCAATTATTGACTCAGTGTAATGAATTCAATCACATACCCCAATCGCATCGATTTGTCAATGCATTCTCGGCAAAACCGGTGTAAGCACCCCATAACAGTTCTAGTTTTCTTGATGATGCCTGTTATGCAAAAGTTACTACTGCATTAGTACCACAAAACAGCAATTTACCACAGAAAGGATAAGAGAATATAAGCCCATAATTATTATCTCTAGAGGTTACTCTTACATGTTTTGCTGCAAAAAATTTTTGGGCCCCAAAGAACTAATCACTGTAAAAATACCTTCTTTGAAAATAGAAGAAGGTGAAGATGAGAACAAAAGTCTAAAAGAATGCCATTCTCCTAACAACTTCACTATCATTATGAACATGATGAATCATCAGTCATCCTCAACGTGTTTTACCTCTTCCCGTCAATGCTAAAATTTTCTGCCAAACACTGAATCTTAAATCAACTTTACAAAGAATGAGACATAGCTTTTATCTCAGCAAACCTTTCCCCTCTATTAGCTCAGAAGAAGCAAGTATTGTTCATTCAAAAGGAAAACAACGTTTATATCCGTGTTGAACAAATTTATGCCATTCATATTATTCTAACGTTCTGTGCTGATAAATATTTTTCCTCGATATGTCAGAGCAAAAGAAGCTATGGTCTCCATCCTTGGGGCTATTCATCATACAACAAAAGGTAGATCTGTTTGTTCAAAATGCCACTATTTATGTCAAGATGAGGAGTTCAAAGATGAATACTTGTGGGAAACGTGAAAAAAAAAAAAGAGAACAGGGATTGTGATTGGAAGTAATAACAAACCAGATTCATTTTTGTTTAAGGAAAAAAAATGCTTATGATCCTCTATGTATAACATTCAGAGTAATTCGTGGACAATTTTCATCTCACATCCCAATTTTATATCTTTTATTCAGTTAGTTCAAGTGAGTTTTGCATAGAATATAGTTTCCAATTAATTTAGGCATGCCCTTTTCGTATAGCTGCAGCACTCAGTTAGTGTATTGTTCAACGTTGCAAACATTAGTTCACCAATGCTAAAATGCAAATAAAATGTACAGTGAGTTTTCCACAGAATATCGTTTCCAATTAAATAGGCATGCCCTTTTAGTATAGCTGCAGTACTCAATTAGTCTGTTGTTCAACGTCGCAAACATAAGTTCACCAATGTTGAAATGCAAATAAACTGTAGCACCTTTTAGTAAACTTAATGACTTGTCAAATCTATGCCATAAATTCTCAAATGTAACTTGAAAAACGGATCCAATTTCAGTAAGGTGCTGGGTGGAATTCAGCTGATATCAGTTATTTTCTATTACAAACTCATCAATCACTTACATGTAATCTTATTCAGCTGCTGTATGGATTCCTGTTAAAGTCATTAATAAAATCTTGAAGATAGCTATCTTAGAGCAAATCAAAGCAACCATCCCTTTGTCCAAAAGGTTTAATTTCAGTCCCTATAAAATTACTCAAACTTGATGCCAGTGTATGGCATCGCTATTTTAATTAGTTTTTGCCCAAAATGAACCAGAGGGAAGATTTCGCTCATCATTGCATAAACAGTTCCATGGTTCCAACTAATAAATACATTTTGACCTTTACCACCAACCATTTTACTTTGAGTCCTTACCAATGTAGGCTGATGACTCAAACAGTCACAAGCGACCAGTTTTGACAATGTGTATTAACAAAGAAGACAAACAAGAAAGGAAAAAATTGCAAATTCAACAACATCAGTGAAAGAGAAATGGGAAGAAAGCAATGTGTGAGGGGGGGCAGAGAAAAGACTATAAAGGATTTTGGAATACTTGCCGCTTAATGACAGAAAATTACTTTAAATCACATAAGTAATTTTAAATGATTCACAAAATGAATAACACTTTTAGCAAAACCATCTTTCAAGGTGATTCAAAAAACCAGAACTTCCAGAAGGCAACCTTTCCTAATCAGGGGTGGCTCAAAAGAGGGAAACTTTTTGCGAGAGACCATTTTAAAAAGCTTATCTGTGTGCAAAAAGATGTCTGCCACCAATAAAAATGTAAAACTCAGGCAATATGGAAATGGTAACAAGTCTAAACTCAAGGGATCAAGCAATTAGAAAAGAATACTTAATCAAAACCCTAAAAGTGACACTATTCTACTGCCTAATGAGTGTCAAACTATTGTGTGAAAAAAAAAAAAGAGAGAGATTGTCTCTCTTTGAAATCCTAGCAAAAGAAACTCAAAGCAGTACATATTAGAGGCAATGAGAAAAAAAAAACTGAGCATAAATACCTAGGCATATGGGGCACTGAACATTGTTACGAACTGCAGATCTTATGACATCAACTACTCTGCAAAAACAGAGAACGAAAACATCATTCAGGACAACAAACTCTAGAGGATTACACAAAATTAAAATTGAATAAGAGGAGGCATATCGCAGGAATAACAAGAGAAGTCAGATTTCAAGCTACCAAGACAAGCATTTCAAGGGGCCTTATGTTAAGCAAACAAATTTAAACAATTGTATTTTAAGCAAACAATTATATCATCTAGTAACACAAGATCTTAACTCATGCTGCATTCGTGGAAATTGAATAACAACCTAGTGGTAAGGATGCTAGGCTTCCTCATCACATTGCAGCAAGTGAAGAGTGTTTGCGTTTACATTCAAGAGCTCATGGACAATAAGTTGGGAAGTTCAAGAAGAATTGTAACCATCTCTTAATCGCTCAAAATTAAAAACAAATAGCATTCAAATCATATTAAAAAAAAAAGTTCAAATAAAGAGAAACACCCTAAAAAAAGTAGTTTCCTGCTTTCAAGTGTTGCCCATTTCCAAGTGGTTTTGTGAAAGAAATTATTTAACATATGGTACGAATTCAAGTCTAGGAACACTATAATTTGACTTCTCCTTAGGATGCATTTTTCAAGGGAAGCAATTGTTCGTAAATTATAAATCTGTAAATCCTGGAAAAACAGCAACATAAGTTTTATACCCAATGTTGCCATAATTCCATATGCAAAAGGCTTGACGGATATGGAAACATGAACTTCATAATCTACAGCTTTATGAATTAAAAAAGAATGTCCTGTCAATTGCCAGGCAACTATAACTAACTGTCTTTTGCTAATTACTGACATCTCACAGAATGACAATGAGCAGGCTGAGCTGCCAAGCAAAAATACTCCAGGCAATATATCAAGCACTTGAAATGCACGAAAATCACCCAAACAAAGCTCCTTGTAGCACACTTTATGAGCATGTTCATCGCCATGGAAGCAATTTGATCAGAAAACTATCAATAAATCCACAAGGTATCTATTACCCACAAAACATCAGTGAATGATCGTAAAATTCGAGATAAATACAAGGCCAAGCAAAATAGGAGTTGCAACAAAGACAAGCACAACTACTCCAAAATTACAGGAGGGAAACACAACGGCATATTTCAATGCAATATGTTTCAACATGCACGATGTACGTATCAACAATGACTAATTACATTCACTAAGGAATTCGAACAGAATCCTTACTCATCAAACTCTTCAGGGTCAGTCCCGCTTCCATCGGAATCTACAAGAATCAAGCCCATTTTAATCATCAGAATGAAATCCCAATTGTCTTTATCGAAAAACAGACGGCAAAACCCAGGAACCCTCAAAATCAATCCCTTCACACCAACATAAACACCCAAAATTCAACCTTCACGAGAATGTAAACTACAGAGACTGAATACTTTAAATGCTAAAAGATCAGCTACCCTCATCAAGGATTTGTTGAACAGAGTCCTTCTCATCTTCCTGATTAGCTTGCTCTTCCCGATGCTCGTCGTTTAGGAGCTGCTGATCTTCCTCCTCCCCCACCACCACCACCACCACCTCCTCCTCCTCCTCCTCCTCCTGAACAGCTACCGTCTTCAACGATTGATCACCGCCGCCGCCGCTCCGCTTGGATTTCTTCCGGCGTTGGCGGTGGGTAGGATGAGCCGGCGCCGATTGCATTTCAGCATCATCCTGATGATGGGTCGAAGAACGTTTCTGGGCAGGCATGTTTTTGCTGCGTTTTGTTGGGTTCTTTTTCAAAAACCAATTGTTGAAAACCACCGCCGCCTTTAGCTTGCGGACGGTGAGTTCGTGGGCTGTGATTGTGGTGGTGGGGATTTTGAGCGGTGGAGTGGTAGCAGCAGTGTGATGGTTTGTTAACTTCCTCTTGTTCGGAGGAAAATTCAGCTCTCGCTAGGAATTTTGCGTTGGTTTTTCTTATCTTTTTTCTTCTTTTTTCCTCTCCTTTTTCGCGTTCGGTTCTTTCTGTACTTTGTTTAATGCAGTAGAATTGCGAACTTACATATGGAAGGTTTTATTTAACTCAAATTATATTTTCAAAAAACCAATTTTTTTAAAAAAATATTGGACTAAATGAGTACTATAAGTATGAGAATAATTAGAAAAATATAAGTGAGAATAACTATTCCCTTGATTCGGAAAAAGATTAACAACATTATAATTTGTGAATTGTACTTAAAACTGTTTAATTCGTAAACTATAATTTAAATTATTTTTTTTTAGACTAAAAAAGTATAACAACATTGAAGAGTTCAATTATGTACCATTTGAAGTGTTCAAGTTTTGGTCCATAGTTTTTCGTTTGGTATGATTTGTTTCCAAAATTATCAACTTCATTTTAAATAATTTCATAATCTAATTTCGAATACTATCTGTTAATAACGAGTCTTTAATTTTATCTCAAATTTTAGTTTCGTCCCTAACAATTCAAAAATTTCAACTTTGTCTTACGATGTCAATAATATGAATCTACTCAAATTATTGTATACATCACAATAACTCTAATCATGAATCAACAGCAACATCTGAAATGCATAGATGATACACACCTCTCATAAATCATATATGTATGTAGACCAAAAGTCCCAAGTGCAACAACCTTAATGCATACGTTGGCTTATTTCAAGCCTTTAGCTAAACACGCTGCTTAAAAGTACTCTCAGTTTAATTTTTACATAATCCCTGCCCTCAAGGAAAAAACCTTATTTGAAATAACCCACATGCGCGCATGAATCTTGTCCTTTGTCTCTGCTCTTTTATTTACTTATTTAAAGTACCACATGAAACTGTGGATCAAAGCTTTTTTATAGTGAGGAATGACAGAAGAGAGAGAGCATGAATCTGGTGCAAATGTGATGATCTATTTCTCATCATCATCATCATCATATATAATCATCTGATCTGGAAATGTTGGTATTTTGAGTTCTCTTGATTAATGCTGAGAACTTGGGCGCACACCATTTCTTTCATTTGATGATTAGTAGTAGCTCCTCCTCCCCTTCCTTTTTGGGTTGATGTTGTTGTTGATGTTGATGATGATGATGAGCCAGCTTCCTCCATTGAGTTCTTCCTCCTCCTTTCATTGTGTCCAGCCAATCGCCTTCTGCAGCTTCTTTTTGTTTCATCAAACTCTGATAGCTCATGAAACCTGCATGCAGACCGATTATTAGTATAACAAAGTTCATTGGCTTCATTGTTTCGTGGTTTTGATCTTTTTAATTTAATATGATATGATATTTCGGTACGCCTTTATACATTTTTGTAAGTCAACTTCTTTAATATCTACTAATAATTTAGTTAGGGAAAAATATACGATTTTTCTCGCAAAAAGAATTTTATTCGTTATATTATTTTGAGGATGCAAAATTTGGGGGAAAATAGGTGGAGCTCATTACAATTTTTATACTACTAGTAGTGTTTTACATGACCATTGAGAATGGTGCACGCACTTGGAAAGGAGTGACAGTATTATTCTATTGTTGGACTAATAATAAGAGCATCACTAATGCTAATAATATACTTATCTACTGGATCAGAACAAATCATTTGAAAACATAATTTATTGTCCTACTTTTAACCAAATAATTAAAAGTGGTCTTGACTTGTTATCATGACAAAATTTTAAGGGTTATTCAACAGATATATCCACTCAAGATTAAATTTTTAACAACTCTGAGTTATGGAAGTAATCAAGATCAAATACAAGAGAAAAGGGATACGAGCTAGCTTAAGTTTAGGTAATATACTTGCTGCATTGTTGACAGAACCTTTGCCGGATTCCGGCCACAACCACCATCTGAGCCTTAGCATGGAGCTCACAGACCTTGTGCCTCCTGTGGTACTGCTTTGCATCCCCAAGATCAGCGCTGCACTTTTCAGCCTGGCAGCATTTCGTCGAGCTCGTGCCGCCACCACCATTCGACACTTTCTTCCCCGGGGTGCTGATACTTGAATTAGTACCACAACTTTTCTTCTTAATTTTAACATAATCCTCCTGGTCAGTTGTTGCAGTACAGAAGAAATCATCATCGTCCATGTTGTTCTTATCTTCTTCTTCAACCTATATGTATATATATATTTTTCAAAAAAAAAAAAAATTCTCTTTATCCCTTTTTGATTGTTTTGTAGTCCTAATTATTCAACCCATGAGTGAAATGATGAGAGATGATCAGGCTGGTATTTATAAGGATATATATCATTATATGTGGCAGAATTTAGTGATCAAAATTAAGAATGATGTGGCTTTGTAGTAGCAGTAGTAGTAGTACTATGGTGGTATTGGTGGGGGGAGATGAGGAATTTCAACAGGAAAGATGAAAAGCTAGTTTGAGGACCACATCAAGTTATTCATCCATGGGGGCTTTTTTTTTTGTGGTGTTTTTTGTTTGTTTGTTCAAAGTGTACAAGGACAGGAGTACTGAATTAATCAATGTGGAAAACAAAGGTTTTTATTCATGTCCTTTTTGTGCGTGGGAATATAGCTTGAAGAAATTGATGCATTGTAAGACACATATATAGGGTGATAATTAGTTTGTTAACAAAGTGTTCCGGTTTCTAAATACGATTAGAATTTCATTAATTAGCGTTAGGAAATAGTATAGTACTACTCCCATGAGTGGCACAAGATCAATTAAGAACTAGTAGTCATTAATACATGAAAATTTTTTTATTTGTCATAATTAATTAGACCAACCTAATTGGGATTCTAGAAGTAACAAATACTACAAAGGTAGTAAAACACAAAGGTGATTTGAAAAAAAATTTAGAAAATTGTGAATTGGAAAGTGGACTCGTAGTTTAAAAAGGTAGTATATTACACACAATCTGGTGTATGGAACCAAAGCCGATGATATACCAGTATTTATGCTACTGTTACATTTCGACCATGTAAGCGACAAGAATGTTTGTTTGTCATTAACACTGAAATTATTTAGATCAGCATTTTTAGGATGCACGGCTTGGGATTCAGCTTCATGAGGGTCCGCTATACCAAACATGCCTAAAAATATTAATGAAATTGAAATTTACATCCCAAAATAATTGGCCATTTCAGTTTTTTCCCATTTAGTACTCCTCTCAAAAAAGTACTAGTCCATAGTAACAAATTTAGTTCCCAACAATTTTTTTAGGGGGAGGGGGGCGATTCTGAAATTTAGATTAGAAGAAAAATAGTCACCCCAATCTACTTTTGTTTCTTTGAGGAACATACAATGGCCCTTGTCATTACCTTGATCTGATTATGGTAGGAGATTAAAGAGAGGCTGCTTAATGTTTATTTTAATTATATTTACGAAAATTGATTTTTCCATTCCACTGAGAAAAAGTAGAACATCTCTCAATTATGAGTCTCGAATAACTTACACAATTCTTTTACCAATGTTGTTATCTATACAACAAAATAGAATAAAAAACTGCTTAAAATCTTATAAGTAAATCTGGAGAGATATTCATTTTAGTTCCTTTGAAATGTATGATTTAAGAATAGATAGTAAATACAATAATTAATCTAAAAAGTACCATAACTTCACCTGCTATATTCCTTCACCACTATATGTTTAAAAATACTTTAAGTCCCACCAAAACTTCAGCGTCTGTCTTTTTTCACTTTTCCTTCCAATTTCCGTCAAAAAGCCAACGGAGGCATGACTTGCACGTGCCTTTGTAGAAGGGGCAATTATGTCATTTAATCACGTGCAAGGCAGAAAAAAATAAAAAATTGACCCTGGTCATGGTCAAATCCGTATGACCCGTATCCATTTCTTTTGTCTGAAACTTTTATACTCCAAAAGTCAGAACGGGTCAAACAAAAAAAAACGAAAAGGCAAACACACATCCATTCAATATATGGGGGAGAAAGGGGAAAAATTCTAGGATTTTCAATTTCACGCCTGAAATTGAAATTTTAGGGTGCAAATGGGGAGTTTTGGATAGTTTAGGAGTTTCGGCGGAGAAAAGAGCTTACAAATTAGGGTTTATAAGGTCAGATCTGTGGCATTAGATTGGTTTTCTTCATAAAACGATAAAAAGATGTGGAGGTGGAGGGATTACACTCCGACGGAAGGCGACGGCGACGGCGACGGCCAAACTCCCATTTACGGTACGTTTTTGGGGTTTCAACCTGATATATGCGTATGGGGGTTTCTGGGTTTCTGGGTTTAGGGTTATTTCATGTTTTATTACATGTGGGGTAATTTTATGTATTATTGTACTAGGGTTTCTGGGATTCTGAGTTTATTTTTCTGAAAGTTGTGTTAGATCTGGGATTCGAGTTTGAGTATTATCTGTTTTTTTAGTAAAATTTGTGTATGTCGGTTTATGGGTGGCAAGTTTTATATTAATTATTATATGGGTTTAGGGTATGGGGATTTTTTATTTTATAAAAGTTGTGGTTTCAAAATTTCAAGTACATAAAGGACTTCGAATGGATATTTTTTGTTCCTGTTTTGTGAAACCCTAGAAAATGGTGGTTTATATATAATTATGCTTGGGTCTTTTTATGTGATTAAACATAGTTTGTAGTTTGTATAGCTGTGTTTGTGTTTTTTGTGCCTTTAATGATATAAAATGTCCTATTTAACATATAAAACAAAGTTGGTAACCTAATTAAATATAGTTTAATGCTTATGTGAAGCACCTCTATTAGAAGGTGGTCACTAATGTAAATTTTTTTTTTGGCCGGTTTATTTTCAGGTGAGGGTTCCAATCTGATTACAGTTAAGCTTTGCCATGGGGGTGGGTTTGTTCTGCAAAATAAGTACAGTTATATGGCGGGTGAAGTTGAGTACTTTGACAAGGTAGATTCTAAGATGCTTACAAAAGAGGGGCTGGAAACCCTTGTTGATAGGACTAAGTATTGCAGGCCACATAAACTTTATTTTAAGGATCCGAATATGGAAAGGCATGGAGGATATAGAGTCATTGGAGGGGGTAAAGATGTTTATGACTTGATAGCATTGAAGAATGAATCTGGGATTGTCGAAGTGTTCAGGTTAGGGGCGAATGAGTTCGATCCTTTCATGAAAAAAGGTCAGCAGGATAATCTAATATGGGATTCTGAAGATGAAGAGGCCAATGATTCAGATTATATTGCTGAGAGTGATTATGAAATGTCTGACAAGGATGATGAGGATTTCAGAAAATACGTTGATGATAGGGTTGACTCTACACCATGGTGTTCTTTTAGGCAGCAAGCTGATACAAAGCATGTTGAAGATGTGAAGGGTTCAAATGGGAGTGAAGCCAATGATTCGGATGAAGATTATGGGTCTTGTGATGACTTATTGAGTGAAAATGAACCTGAGGATGAAGATAGTGAACGTCCAGTGAAGAAGGACAAGGTCTTTAACCCTGCAACAGACATGAAGAATCCCAAATTTGAGCTATATCAGAAGTTTGGAACAAAGTGGATTTTGCTGGACGCACTAAGAAGGCATGGAATTGTTGATCGGAGAAGCATCGACTTTAAGAAAAATGATAAGCTGTTTGTGCATGAGAAGTGTAGGCATTGTAACTGGGAGGTTTATGGGGTTAAAATGGAAGGAGAGAATGAAAACACTTTCCAGATCAGGACTGTGAATACCAAGCATAGTTGCGGAAGAGTGTGGAGTACCAGAAACGTCAATTCCAACATAATTTCTGACTGGTATGTCCCAGATTTTGCTGATGATCCCAATATCAGTGTGAGTACATTGAAGTTTAGGGTAAAAAATAAGCATCAACTGACAATCTCCAGAACTCAGGCCTGGAATGCAAAGAGAAAGGCGTTGGAAAAGGTTCGGGGAAAGATTACTGAACAGTATGCTCAATTAGAAAGCTACATGGCTGAGGTTAAACGGTCTAATCCCGGGACATCCATTCAAGTGATATGTGAGAATGATGAACTTGATAGGTTCAAGAGGTTATATTTGTGTTACGCAAGCTGCAAGAAAGGGTTCAAGGAAGGATGCCGGAAGGTTATTGGGGTTGATGGGACATTTTTGAAGGCACAATGTAAAGGGATCCTCCTAACTGCAGTAGGATTCGACGCAAATAACAACATCTATCCGGTAGCTTTTGCAGTAGTTGAGAGTGAAAGCCAGGACAACTGGGGCTAGTTTTTGGCCTGGCTGATAAAAGATTTAGGGATCACAAACACTCCGGATTGGGTTATTATATCTAATAGGCAGAAAGTAACCTTTTTTTTTTTTGTGTAACTGGTCCTTATGAAATGTTTGTTTATTCTGGTTTTGCTATTTTGCTATTTATTCTGGTACATTACAAGAGCATATTTTATAACTGGTAATAACAACCTGTTTGTATGTTTTTATTGTAGGGTCTAATTCCAGCTGTGAATGAAAGATTGGGAAATGTATCTCATAGGTTTTGTGTGCAACACATGTGGAACAACTTTAAGAAGGAGTTCCCGGGGGTCGAAATGAAACAGAAAATGTTTAGCATAGCTAAGGCCACTACCCCCGAACTTTTTCATAAAGTAATGGATGAACTGAGAGTGGAAAATGAAGGGGCATGGGAATGGCTAAGCAGAGAAGAAGCTCATCACTGGTGTCGGACATTCTTTGAGTGTGTTACCAAGTGTGACATGCTTGTTAACAATATTTGTGAGGGGTTTAATAGAGCAATACTTTGTGCTAGAAAGCTTGCAATCAGAGGTATGCTTAAGTGGCTTAGAATTTATTTGATGAAGAGGCATCAGAAGAAGAGGGAATGGATTCACAAGAATGATTTTGTGGTTGGGCCGAAGATTTTTGCCAGATTAGAGACTTACAAGGAACAGGCTGCAACTTATAGTTGTGATTATGCTGGTGATTGGGAATATGAGGTGAAGAATGCCTATAAAAAGTATATTGTCAGCTTGAAGAATCATACTTGTGCATGCAGAAAATGGGAATTAACAGGTCTCCCGTGTCCTCATGCAATCTGTTGCATTTGGGAAGCAAACAAGAAGATCGAGAATTATGTAGATAAGTATTACTCGAAGGAGATGTATTTGAAGGCCTATACACCTGTTATAAGACCAGTAAATATGCCTCTTCTCTGGCCGAAACCTAAAGAGGCACCTGTTAGAGTCCTTCCTGGTAGGCCAAAGAGTAGTAGGAATAAGACCCCAGTTGACGTGCCTCTTAAGACGAACAAGAGGGGCTCCTTAAAAGCGAGTAGGAAGGTTGGACCAGGAAAGCACAAATGTGGTTACTGTAGGGGCTCACACAACAAGAAAACTTGTCCTGACTTGAAAGAAGCTAGGGCTGCAGGAATTAAGCTATCTACTATCCCGCCGAAGGTATAAAAATTCTGAAACCCTAATTTTTAGTTTTTTCCTTTTTTTTTCCAATTTAACTCAATTGATATGTATGGTTAGTTAACTCACTTTCAATGTTTTATACCTAGGGGAATCCTCCTAAACTCAAGAAGATGGGAAGGCCTCCGAAGCCTAAGAAGAACCCCACATCTGAGGGAACCAGTAACCTCCCCAAGAGAAGGGGCAGAAAACCAACTGCAAAATCAGTGTGTAAAAATTGCAATCAGACGGGACATTTCCGATCAATATGTCCTTTATTAGAAAGGCGGAGAGAGATGGTGAAGGAAATTGAAGAACGACAGGTAATTGTGTTTTTACAGTAGTTTATATTCATTGACTAAATTTAAGTGTTTTCTCTCCAATAAAATTGATTTTCCTGTATGTAACTAGCGTCAGGCACTGAATGAAGCATCTCTGAATTTAAGTCGGACTAACGGAATAGAACAGCCACAACCGGTGGTATCCGAGTGTGCTGCTTGTGATTCAACCACTCACACTGTTGAAACATGTCCAATCTTAAAAGAAACAACACAAATGGAAGAGGAATACCTTCGTAGTTGTCAAAATGTTGATAATGGTCAGATGGAAGAGGTACATTGTACTGATAGTTACACATTACGTTTTTTACTTTTTTTTACATTGTTTTTTATATATTCACAGTGTTGATATTAATACAAGATATTTACATTGTTTTTTGTAGGAGATAAGCACCCCGAATGCATCTCCTGAAAGTCAGGCAGGAGATGATGTTGATTACGATAATACGCCTTATTTGATAAAATGTGATTACTGTCCTCAGTTTGGTCACACCAAAGAGGACTGCCCAAAATACGAGGTAGGATTGTGTTGATTTTATACAAGGTCTTTATTGATTTTCATGATTTCACAGTGTAGCTTATATAAGGTTTGGTTAAATGTAGCTGGATGTTAAAAGGGGGAAGAAGAAAACTGAGGAAAGTGCAGAAGTCATCACTGCTGCCTTAGATGAAATCATCAACACCCCAAATGCACCCCAACAAAGTAAAAAGAGGCCTGCAAGTAGTGAACCAGACGTAGTGATATTAAGTGATCAGTCGGGACATCAAGTCAAAACACTACGGGGTAGGACAGTGTTTGTTCCTGCACATGATCAGGCTACCAAGAAAAGAAAGAAAGGAAAGCAGAGCGTAAATTCTGGTTCCAAGGCAGAGGTACGAATATAGCAGTCATTTTTTTTTTTTTTTTGCTTTTGTTTTAACCCTTAAATTGAGTTGTATGGTTTCTTATGATGCCCGCATTAACATGAACTGTCCCAGGCAAGAAAGATTCAGAAACTCTTTTGCCATGTTGTGCCGAAACCAGTAAATGATGAATCCGATATGGCCAAACAACTTGAAAAGCTGAAGGAACCAGATGGCCGGATTCATTGGGGATAAAAAAAGCTTGTGACTACATCGCTGAACAGACTGCTAAAGCTGTTGCTAGAGGGAATGAGTTGTATGCGAAGTATGGGTTCAAACTCCCTTCTTCATCAGCAGATAGTATGTTTATGTTGGTTCCAATCAGGTCAAAATAGATGCAGACCTGACATCTAATCTGGTTGCATTAACCAATGACTTGCATGCTATCTATAAAGACTTGGGTAAGCCAAACAACGAGGTGCAACCTTCGAAGACTGAAAAATGATGATTTTTAGCCTGGCTATGTTTATGGCTGTGTTAGCCTTTTGTATGCATCCTACTGGATTGCATTTTGCAATTGGGAATTTGTACTGATATTGTACTGATATGTTGGCATGATATGTTTGGTCCTTTCTAAACCGTTGCTCAGAACTTTGAATCCGATATGCGTATTTCGTTGTGTTCATTTGTCGTACTTGTCTTGTTACGACTATTTGATATTGTCGTATCTTTAAACTAGATTATGGGTGTTGTTACGGCTATTTGATATTGTCGTATCTTTAAACTAGATTATGGCAATCATATGTAGTAACTTCTCATGTTAAAAGAGTCGAACACGAGTATTAAAATTCTTGATTCGAGAGCTCAAAGAAACTCCTCTAGATTTAGAAGATGCAACAATAGGATATACAAAAAACAGAGCCAAAATACAGAGCCTATTCACTGACTCTATTTAGTTCGTCTAGACTAAAAGAAACTCCTCACAACAGAATAAACAGAGCCAAGATACTGGTTCAAGATCTTACACAACAAGGAATTTTAGCCTTGCAAAACTACTCAATCTACCTCACCCAATGCAATTGGAACTTCAATCTACTACTTCTTACACAGTACGACCAGCACAAGGAAAAAAATCATGACATTAACAATAAACCCTGCAAATAAACCAAACAGAATCGAATCCAATTTTGATTTGCACTTGCAGCATTCAAGCTTGGGTTTCTTCCCGACAATTTCGTAATTCCCCGATATAAATTCTTGACTAACCTGCTCTATCCCCTCCTCTTTGCCTTGACTATTTTGCTCAATCCCATCTTTCGATTCACGACTTACAAGGAAATTTCTTCTGCGAATCCCTTGTGAAGTCGACCCAGATTCGGTGTTGCTGTGATCAAACCATTTCAAAAAACCATGAATTGGACATCTATAATAGAGACGCCCTGGATTATCATTAGATGCCGATGGAATTAGGATGCCTTTCCTCCAACATTTGCCACAATTTAAATCCTGTATCACCATTTTCTCAAAAGAGACTGTTTGACTATGATTAGCCATAGGCAGCAGGATCTACTTTCAGAGGTGAACCATTTGCGGCCAAAAGTTTGGTCAGGAAATTGCTTTCTGGCGGCGGCATCAACAATTCCTTCTGCTTTCCACCTGCGTCGGCGTCGGTGAAGATTTCTGTCAGGCGGCGCTTTCGACGATTTCTTCTGCTTTCCACCTGCGTCGGCATCGGTGAAGATGGAAGAGATGGTGGACTTCGAACTAGAAGAGATGGAGAGAAATTAGAGTTAGTGGAAGGTTCCCGATTTGGGAATTACAATATATATAGAGTAAATTCATTTTTTTAAATGGTAAATCGGTAAATGTAAAAACCCACATTAAAATGATAAAATTGCCCCTTCGTTAAAGGCACGTGCAAGTCATGCCTCCGTTGGCTTTTTGACGGAAATTGGAAGGAAAAGTGAAAAAAGACAGACGTTGAAGTTTTGGTGGGACTTAAATTATTTTTGAACTTATGATAGTGAACGAATGTAGCAGGTGAAGTTATGGTACTTTTTAGGTTAATTAGTGATAATAAATATATGCCATATAAATATAGTTATGAAAATCATTATTGTTAGACTTGTATATACGTCTTATTTAATTTCTCTCCTTTATTATTATTATTATCATCATCATGATCATCATCGTCGTCGTCGTCGTCATCATCATCACCATTGAGATAAGTGCTTCGCCACAACGGGATCTAAGTACTTTTTTAATGTGTTTTGCTTTTGGAATTGAATGTTTGGTAACATTTGCTTGAAGTAAAATATAACATGGTTTTTTTAAGGATAATTTGATTAATTTCTTGAATCATGCGAATATGAGATGAATATTGTTTCTCGTGATAAAAAAGAGACGGGTATGTTATGATTAGTGATTGTCTAAACTAAAATCAAATAAGTTCGATTGAACGTACCTTTGCCTCATTTCCTTTCATTTGATTGGTTTACATAATACTAACACTTTTCAAAAACTGAAAAAATTGCAATAAATCAAGGAATCAAAAGCTGAAACGTGGTTGAGCCCAATCGTTTTCCCAATTCTATATTTGAGCAAATTATTAGGCGTGTGTCCATTCAAAAACTAAAGGATACGATTCCTACAGATTTTACTGTGGTGGCTGGTGGGAGATAGAAATGGCATTGTCCTTTCTGAAAGGCCATTGACAAAATTCATAGAAGTAGCTCTTTGATGCTCTTAGAAATATGGCCCTATGCTTAAAATCTGCGAGTTAAACAGGACCCTCGAAAGGTGCACACCAATTTTTCTTTTGCATTTGTGCTTTTTGGGTTTTGGGGTTTATGTTCCTTTTTATTATTTGGGACATTTCTAGTTTGTTTTTTTTTTTTTTTGAAATGGGGACATTTCTATTGAGTACAAAGGGTTACAAGATCATTCGTATAAATTGGAATATTGTCAGGAAAATGGTATGGCTCGACCTCTCGTAAGCTAGATCGAGCGTACTCATCCTGATAATTAAGAATCACAATTCTTTTTATCTCGAATACACAAAGATATTTTGAAGCCCAAACAACATGCATGTAGAAAATTATATACGCAAAAACAATTAATTAGATGTACATATGTTCTGGTAATTTTTTATTTTATTTTTTTTATTATAATAAAAGAGATTAGAGCCTTGTACTAAACTGTTACATTTCCGGGATATGCCCCCACTTACATCATGATCAAGCCATGGCCTAACACTAAAGAGTGAATTATCAAGTCATTGCAAATATGACGTGAAACGTATATATGAGGTGAAATGTAGTGTATTTCTTTTATAAAAAAAATACAAATTAATGTGATCATAATTAAATATGCCATTAGGCTATAAAGACGCAGAAGTAACTCCAAGACTTAAATTTCTTGCAAAAGATTGAACCCGCAAAAAGTTCGAACAAAAAGTGATGAATGAAAAGATTAGAGATCACGAAAGTGTTATAATTAGCGACTCACTAGAAATTTCTCAAACAATTTTTGCTCAACATATTTTCAGTGAAACAACTTGATGAAATTTTTTATGAAACGTCTAACAGTTGTTAACCTATTTTGAACACTAGAATTAATGGCATAATTGTTATAAGTGCAAGTATATAAATTTCACGAGTCATATAATCCTTAAAGGATTAAGAATTAATAAATAAATTCTATTGTTTTCATTTTTAAAATTCATCCAAGTCACCCCATGCCGAATTCCACTTAAGAAGAATAAAGAGAGGCGGCCAAAATCATTAGGTCAGGTCCAATAATTTAGAAATATTTTTTAGGTTTAACCTCTAATGTTATTAAAAAATAAATAAAATAATCTTCTCTAAAGTCTCAAAATTATTTAGAAGGACCTAAATATTCTAAAAAGAATAAAGAAGGCCAAATATAGCGTGAAATTAGAAGGAAATAAGAAATTTCTGAAAATCCCACAAAACAAACTAAGAAAAATAGCAAAATGGGATCGTCGACTTTGACATCAACGTAAGGAACCCGACATATAAGTCGACGGTTAACTTCTGAATTGTTTCCTCATGTATGAGTTTCAATTTCAATCTTCCATCACCCTAAAATATCCATGCAAGAAAATGTCCAACCAACCACTATATAATCAAAAGAAATACTAATGATTATCATGATTGAAAATAACCTCAATGGTTAATCACATCCCAAATTACATAATTCCGTTTGAGAATGAATTTTATCAGATGATCTTCTAGCCATGTTATGACTTGAGATCAGCTTATTACATTTATTATAACGTGATAACGTTAATTAGCAGGTTAATAAGAGCAACTATATGTTTGGAAAAAAAGATGAATTTTTTTATAAAAAATTCTTACATCGATTAACATGACGCTTGCATTGTAAAAATTATCAACCTTATCGGGTGACGGTCACATAAGTTAATATATATAAGAATTCACTAAAAATTGTCCGTGATTCGCTGTAAGGTGTGCACTATAATTATTCCATTGTGTCCTTTGAGAAGCTAAAAGGAAAAGAAGGAAAAGAACATTCCTACTGAACTGCACTGAAAGTGGCTTACAGAGACTATGTGATTCGGGATGAGCATCTGGGAATATAAAAGGGAGATGACTTTCTTTGTTTTCATCAGCTTTCAAGTTCAACTCATGACAGATGATCAAAAGTTATGTTTTTTTGCGGCCTCGAGTAAGCGATTCGATCAAAATATATGTGGTGACATCAAAGATGTTGCAGATGAGATGATGATAATAAGTAGTAAGTACGTACCATATTGTACATGTATGTATATATGACTTTGTTCGGATATAGGATATTGCCATCTTTATTGTTTTCCAACTTATAAAGTTTGATTGATGGAGAAATGTTAATCGTACTCCATGGTACACCTGGTAACTAGTTGGCTTTCATTCCTTTTTTTTTTTTTTTCTTCTTTTAGTAGTTGCCATGCTTTTTAGAGATTCCTTCTTTCTAATTCACAACTTTTACAAAGGAATTAAAAAGGGTTTTCTCTTTTCTTATTTGTCTTTTCTGTTTTCTCCATATATTTCAAAGTTGAGCATAAGGGACCAACATTTTCAATCGTGTGTCATGTTATGCTAGTGATGGAGGCATTTGTAATTAGGGACCAAATTGAGAAATGGAGAAGATGATTCTTAATTATTACTCGTTGATAGTATAAGATTATGCTCAAGATGTGTTCAAACGATTGACACGTTTATGTAATTAATCTT